AAATAGTAGTAATGGTAATGATAATAGTAATGATAATAATAACAATAATAATAATAATAATAATAATAATAATAATAATAATAACAATAATAATAATAATAATGATGATAGTAATGATAGTAATAATAATAATAATAATAATAATAATAATAATAATAATAATAATAATAATAATAATGATAAAAATGATAATAATAATAGTAATAATAATAATAATAATAATAATAATAATAATAATAATAATAACAACAACAACAACAATTATAATAACAATCACAGCAAGAGTGATAACAAAAATAATAACAATAACAAAAACAAGAGCGAGAGAACAGCGCCTTACCGACACGTGGACTCGATTCTCGTTCCTGTAGGTCTTGACGCGGGCGTAGGGCGGTGCGGGCGCGCGGTTGATGGTCCACGTGATCTCCGTGGGCGGGTCGGAGGGGCCCACCTCGCACCGGGCCTGAATGATGTCCTGCACGCCCACCTTCGAGCTCAGGGGTCTGTGGGTGAGCCTTGGGCCCCAGGGGGGTATGTCTGTTGGGGTGGGATGTGGGGGGGGAGGGAGGGAAGGAGGGGGGAAGAGAGGGCGATGGAGGGAGAGAGAGAGAGAGAGAGAGAGAGAGAGAGAGAGAGAGAGAGAGACAGAGAGAGACAGACAGACAGACAGACAGACAGACAGACAGACAGACAGAGAGATTGACAGAGACAGACAGACAGACAGAGACAGACAGACAGAGAGACAGAGAGAAGCGAAGGGAAGAGAAGAGATAAAACGAGAGAAAAGGAGAAGAGAGGAAAGTTTAAAGAAGGGGAAAAAAGTGGAAGAAAAATTAGGGAGGGAGAATCGAGGAGGAAAGGTGGATGAGGGAGAAAGGTGGATGAAGGAGAAAGGTGGAAGAGGAGGAAAAGTGGATAAAGAAGAAAAGTGAATGGAGAAGAAAGGTAGATGAGGAAGAAAAGTGGACGAGGGAAAAGGGGAAGGAGGGAGAAGAAAGAAAAAGAGAAATGAGACAAAAGTATATTGCTTTGTTTTAATTTTCTTTTTTATATAATAATCTTCCATTTTCAACATAAGCAACCCACACAACACGAAAGTCCGAAAAAAACTGATTTTTAAAACAGCGTAAATACTCCATCATTATTTTTCCTCCTCAGATGAATGTAATTAATCAAAGTTTTTCAAAAATCTACCTCAAAGTACAAAGATGACAGTTTTTTTTTTCTTCTTCTTCTTCATTTCATTTATAAACGCAAAGAAAACGGAGAAATAGAGTGAAATAAGAGGGGTAACTGTTTTAAAAAAAGAACAATGATTAATTACAGAGAGGGCACAAAAATTGAGGCTTTTTGGGTACGGAAAAGTCGGATTTTGTTACCGGAGGATGGAGTTAAAGAGTAAAATATGGTCTCTATTTTAATTGCCGTTGATTGTGTGTGAGCAAAGGAAATATGATTCATTTTCTCTCTCTTTCTCATATTCTTTCTCTCTCTCTCTCTCTTTCTCTCTCTCTCTCTCTCTCTCTCTCTCTCTCTCTCTCTCTCTCTCTCTCTCTCTCTCTCTCTCTCTCTCTCTCTTTCTCTCTCTCTCTCTCTCTCTCTCTTTCTCTCTCTCTCTCTCTCTCTCTCTCTCTCTCTCTCTCTCTCTCTCTCTCTCTCTCTCTCTATCTATATATATATATATATATATATATATATATATATATATATATATATATATATATATATACCTATCCATCTACCTATCTATCTATCTATCTATCTATCTATATATATATATATCTATCTATCTACCTATCTGTCTGTCTGCCTATCTATCAATCAGTTTATCTATATGTTTGTCAATCTATCTATCTATCTATGTATTTATATGTGTATGTACGTACGTATGTGTGTTTGTGTGTGTGTTTGTGCATGTTTGCGTGCGTGTGTTTAAATATGTGTATAAACATTTTCCGTGTGTGTGTGTGTTAACTTATGCTTACAACCCCATCCTTACCCACTCACCCATTCCTCTAATAACGACATCCACTCATCCACCTTACTCACACCACCCATCTTACTCACCGACAACCGTCATGTTCTTCGTGTAGTTATCCGTCTCGAAAAGGGGTTTGTCGCCCACAACTTCACACTGAAAGCTTCCTGAAGTCTCACGTGTAACTCCCTTCAGAACCACAGTGTTGGCGTCACTCTGGGATTTCTGTGGCAGAGGAGAGAGCTGGATGAAATGAATGGATGACTGGGGGTGGATGGAATTATTAGATGATTGGGGATGGATGAAAAAAATATATGGATGGTGGAGGATGAGAGAATGAATGATGATGATATATGATGATGAATTATGATAGAAGTGGATGATTGGGGTGGATGAGATTTAGGAATGATTGGGGTGGATGGAATTAATGGATGATGGGGTGGATGAAATAAATGGATTAAAGAATTGGATTATGAGAGAAGGAATGATAGAACTACGATAGAAGTGGATGATAAAAGCGGA